AGGCGCCTGTGTCTCAATAAACCCCTCTTGCTTTTGCAGCCAGTGTTTCGTGTGATTCTCCTTGGACAGGGAAACGGGGGTCTTTCATTTTAAGCAGTAATGCATTTGCCTGGCATGCACAGGGTGCTGGGTTTGATCCTCAGCACCACATAAAAATAAAAGATGTTGTGTCCTCCGAAAACTGAAAAATAAATACTAAAAAATGCTCTCTCTCTGTCTCTCTCTCTAAAAAAAGAACAAAAAGAAAATAACAAAATGTTTCTTATTAAAATTAAATAATTGCCCAATTAAAAAAAATACAAAGATTGTTTCAAATTGTGAACAAAAAAAAGGATTAACAAATAAAAAAGAGAAATTAAAGTTCTATATGAGTTGGGTTTACATATATATGTACAATGGTCAGGGCTATTTGCCATTTTACCTTAAGGTCAATCTAGAGTTTAACCTATATGTTAAAAAGACAAGGATTTCTTGAAACATTGATCTACCTATAACATTGTGTTTATTAAGTCTTTTTTTCCCCAAGTAGTCTTGAAGGAATTAAGGATTATACAACTATGGTTAAATAACAACTGTTATTTAGAAATACTGTAAAATGTTATTTCCTTGAAAGCTAAACTTGATTAAAATAAAACCATCAATGTAATTGTGGTGTTATTTCTCTTCTTTGTGTATTAAATATGTTTATATCTTCCAGGTATATAAGTCTTTAAGGTAGAAGGTTTAAAAGAACATTATATCTGGCTGGTGTTCTTTAAACTACGGTTGTATGATAATTTTTGGCTTATAAAGATGTCAAACTTTATTGCAGATTTATTTGTATCTTTTAGTGTTCTATAACTGAACCTGCTATCAAAAAGATAAAATGTTTTATGTTACTTTTTACACTGAGGTAAAATTTAAATACATTTTAAGTTAATGAGAGCCTAAGTTATATAAAGGTTTATATTGTGAAACAGGAAAGCATTTTGCTACTTTTCCAAAAAAAGTTAAAAGTTCTCAGCCTTCTTTTAATTCACATTTTAAATGTAATATCATATTGTGTTAGCTAATATTCATGTGGACTCAAGCAACAATATATGTAAACTTTGTAAAATAATATTTAAGAAAAAAATCAACTTCAGAACTATAGTACTTCAACTAAGATTTGTAGGTTCTCTGTGTTATCTGAGATAAGCTCTGCCTCCCACATTATTACATGTCAAAATGACTCCAAATCAGATCAGACTTCAGGTCATTTAAAGTTTTTCTTTCAAAAAATTGTTTTTTGTTATTAAGATTACTAGGATCTCAAAAAGCAGATATAATATATAACTCAGCAAAAAATTAAGATAGTTATTAAACAAAGTAAATGTTTTTATTCTAATTTTATTTTGTATTTTCCTTATAAACTGTCTAAATGTTGTCTGTTAATGTTTAACAGAGGGATTGCTATGTGAACACACAACCTGGGTTAATTTAAGATAATAATTTTATTACCTAAATGACAGAAAGGATAGTACAGACACAAATTAATAAAAAGGGGCAAATGACTGCAAGGTTATAGACATTAAAGTTAAAACCTAGTTCTTAATTTAAGACTGGTGAGACTGGCTCACTATAACTTTCAGATCAAGACTTAAAAATAAAGTTAAATTAAAAGGACAAAAAGATATTTAGCTCTTGCCCTCCAAGTCAGTCAAAATCCAGGGAACAGATAGCTTCTGTAAGGAGCTTTACAACTCTGGGCCACACAACCTCCTGACTGGGAGATTCATGAGACCACTGGAGAAGAGAAAGCAATCAATGCACTTGCCATGAAACGAGGGTCATTGGAGAAAGAAGACATTCTTATGCATCCGAGAGAAGCTACATGGTCAGCAAGACCTGGACCCATCCTAGTGCAAATGACACAAGCAGAATTGAGAAACTTCTCTTAAGTTTCCCAAAAAGTGACTTCCTTGGAAGGTCAGCAGATTCTTAACAATACATAGAAAAAGAAGTCAGTTTGACTTGCTTCATCTTTAACACCTAGCAAAAATAGTTAAAACCAAAACATAGCCATTCCTGAGCATTTGAAAGATAAATAATAATAGTTAAATATAACTTAAGATATACACTTATGTTAGCCCCCCACCTCCTCAAAAATAAGCAAAACTAGAGACTCATTAAAAAGATTCTGAGGAAGTAATGCCTAATATCAATCAAGTGAAACTGCCAAGTAAGAAGTTTCAGTAATTTAAGGCTTATAGATCTTCCCAACCTCCTACACAGGTAGGATTAATATTTGCTAACATAATTATCTAACCCCAAGTAACAGAAATAAAGGGTTCTCCTCAAAAAATTAAACAATAAGATAACAA